TGGGAAACTGATTAGTCTCGCAAGAATTCTCTAAGACGAATTCACTTCTACTAGTATATATTCCCCACCAACCTTTCCTACCTCATCAAGCACTTTACCTATTACTTCTTCTGAATTAAGCTTTTAAGTAGCTTAATTTTAAGTAATTTTAAGTAATCTCACGCATTGGTGTTCTTGATTATGTTTGAGAAATCCTTACTAGCTCTAAAGTATAAATACTAAAAAAAAAAAAAAAAAAAAAAAAAAATTCATTACCAGTATAGAAATTTAAGATTTAAATTCATTATAGTGAAACAAGTTTTGTCTAGAGTAGAAATTAATACTATCAAGAATAGCAACATGATCACATTTCCTTAGAAAACAAAATCCAAATATACTTAAAAAAATGCTAAGGAGTATGTTTTTAAAAGAAATGAATGAATAGATGTGATAGTGAATAAACAGATTATGTACCATTTTTTGAAATATCAGAATACTTAAGACTAACACAGAAAAGCAAGCCCATTAAATTTTCTTTTCTTTATTTATATAACAGCAATATGAACTTGGTGAAATGATAGGACTTGTGTTATACTGTGGCTTTTTTTTTCCTTGAGAAAAAGTCCCTTATGTGTTTACAAACACTGAAATAAAAGACAAATTTTATTCCCAAAGGTCCCTACACCACGTTCCTTATAAAACCCAAAGGATCAACTAGCCTTCTGTTAGAAGGTGGATAAATAACTTTAAGGGATAATAAAGAATGAGAAATATTACCAAAAAGTATTTTTTAAAAGGAGCATATGCCATTTCTTTGAAGCATATTAAATGTTATTAGTGTTATCACAATTTGAAGAATCATTACTTACTTCCTATTATGGATTGAGATGACCAGACCAAGTATGAAAAATTGGTATATTCTATTTACATCTAAAGTACTTTGTATTCAAGAATTAAATACTTTTGGTGGGGGAGGGGGGAAAACAAGGCCAGGGTTATTCTTCTATGTAGGAAATAACAACAAAAAACCCCCACAGAAGCATAATACCTATATTTTCTCTGGAGACATGCTTTTTCAATAACCTGTTTTTCCCTCAGATTTATCGAATAAATGCATATTATTGCTTTGCACTTACTGTTCTTTCGCCAGTTAGCTTCAACCCTTAGGTCTACTTAATCAAAGGTATAATAGCCAGCATTTGAATTATTTACCACATGTATCATAAAGAATGAATCTCCAGAAAGCGCACACAAAATCAAGTAAAAAACAAGCATTTCTCCATCAAAATTTTTTAAATAACCAGTCTCTAAAGTCATCCTTATTAAAATGTTGAAATCAGAAAATTATAATTTTTTTTCCACCTCTACACCTGTTTTAGATTTTTTGTAGGAGACAGTGAAGTTTACTTCACTCTTCTTCCAAATTCACTGTAAAGAAAATCACCTACAAGTAATTGAAGAATATAAAAGAGGATTTTTTAAAAGATACCAGGTCACTAAATAAATGTGCTGAAAACAAAATTCAGGGTTTTTCTTCTTGAACTTGGACCACACAAGTGTTCCTACAGAATGAGAGTTCTAGTGTCCAAATGATGCAATTTTTAAGAAAATGAAAAGAATACACTTGAAAATATTAGAAAATTATTAGTAATTCAAAACGCATTTCTTTTCCTCTTATATTACTGCAAACATCTTTAATTTCTAAAATGAGAAATAAAATGTTAATATACTTCCATTTACATATTAAGTTTTCAGTATGCTGAGCAGTTATAATTTCTGGGTGAGGTGTTTTAAACTTAAATTTCACCATATTTTCATATACTAAGCTACTTTCCTTCAATAATGTCCTGCTTTAAAACATGACAACAGACCTTAAAGCTCAAACCACTGTGAGCAGTACCACTAGGGAAGAACCCACAACACCTATGACAGACAGCAAGCACACTGCTGCTTATCCAGTGGATATTCACTGAAAGGGTGATCTGCTAAAGGCTATTTGATAAAATATATGTAAAGCCAGCTACCTACAACCCCTCCCCCCTTACATATGAAGGAAAAAAAAACACACAAAACACTTAAACTCACCAGGACTGAAATTCTTTCAGCTAAGCGGAATAAATCCAGTCACATTTAAGTAAAATACAAAGTACTAGGTTTTCTCCAATTCATGGGAAATTAAAATGCAATTCTTTAACCACAAAGAGCAAAGAAATGGAAATAATCTAAGACTAAATTTAGTTTTAAAACAGAAATATTAAGTGTTTTAAAAAGAATATTGGCAGCAAACACTCCTGCTACAGCAAACTCTCCTCCTCCTTTAACAGCATAAATATAAAGTCCGTTTCCCTAAGGCGAGCAGAAGGAGCACCCCAAGACCGCTCCAGACGACAGTTCACCTTTATGTCCCCCCACCTCAACAGGTACATGGAAAGGCCTCCAAGTAAGTATTTCCATAACGTAACCATGTTTCTGTAGCCCAAGGTTTAAAAAGGGGACCTGGTTTTGATGAAAATACTCACCATTGATTTCATTTAGCAAGTCAGACAGACAAAAACTGGGGGCCGGGGGTAGGAAGAATGACCTACTTCCTGAATCTGTTTCTGGGTGCCTCTGAGACCGTGTAAACGGCAATTCCCACAAGAGAAATAAATGCCCCACTGATCACTGCGAGTGGCTCTACGCAAAAGAAAACCTAAATATATCCCCTCTTGAACTGAAAGGTACCTAACAAAATTCTCCCGAGGGTAAGAAAAAGTTTCTTTTTTTAAAAAAAAAAACTGAATGTTTATGGTTTAAATCGGAAGCAAAAATTTAAATCCCCAGGTCCTATACTAAATTCAAACTACCAGA